GGTTCCTTTCCCCCGGCAAGTCAATAGTAGATACATAGGAAACACACGCACGCTCCCTCCCATTATGGCTGGGAGGCCCGAGTGGACGGCATTGAATACTTCCCTGAGGAAGGTTTTACCACCCCTCACCCCTGCCTAAGTTAACCTGTACTATCTCAGTTTGCCAAAACATATAATCCCAGTTCCTATCTTACTATCCTTATCCTTATCCTATATTCCTTGAACCCTACAACCCCCTCCACTTAGCCTTCCTTGCCTTGCCTCACTTTAATTCTTATGGCATCCTAAGTTCCTGTGTCAACAGCTGATCATCTATAGTGTCCTCCTGTCGCTCGTCTTTCAAACCAATGGAAGAAAGTCTCTCTCCTTCTACCGCCGCGACTTTGCCTTGGGCTAGTACCCTTTTCTGGAATTTGGTTAAAATATCCTTTGCCCTTTCTGGGTTAAGAGCCACTTGCTTCTTTGTCCTTCTCCATAATGCCTTAATCTCTGTCTCCAACAGGCTATAGAGAATTGCCTTGGCTTCCGCTCTAGTCATCAGAAATTTGCCCACCACCTGCTGACATCTTCATTTCCATATTGTCCATAAAGTGTACTGTCTCAGAAGCTGAAAGATATATTTGTGGCCTGCCCGCCATTCCTTAGGCACCTCACTTCCTATCAATAATAGTTTCCTGTTTCGCAGGAAGGGGACCTCCGTAGTATGTGTCCACAATGAACGAGCTATGTACCAGAGATATTCTGCTTCCGGCCAATGGAGCAAGCAATGGATCAGAGTTTCCTGAACGCCTCTCATACACATAACACAGTCTTGATCTGACTCATTCCTATTGAGCCTGCTCCGCTTATCGAACAGCCAGACATTGACTGGGAGTGCTACATGATAGATGATCCACTGCATGCTCCTGACCTTGGCCAATCTGATACTGTGCAAATTTGACCACCGTAACCTTTCTACCTGTTCCCTTGGTATATCCAGTCTCTTCTCCCATCTTATCGCCGAAATCTGATCTAGATGGCATGATCTCCCCCTCAGACGGTAGCCCAATTTAGTGGTGTACTGAAGTATATTAAATCTCCTGCTTACTCTGGACGAGCTTCCCCTGATGTTCCATGCCCACTCTGCTGGATCAATTTCCAGGTCCCGAATGGATGTCAGTGGCTCAAATATCGTAAAATGATACTAAAATCTTCATTCTCAACCACTCTGACCTTTCTTAAGATGTTTTTCTTAATGGCGATCAGAACCCTGGAATCCTTATCCAGGATACTAACCGTGACTCCTGGAGATATTATTGTGTACATATCTGGTTCCAACCACTGTTTAGAAGGTCCTACCTCCTGTCTTATGCGAAAGGCTGCCTCTGGTTCATTAGTAGAGGCTATTGTTGCCCAATCCCCCCATCCCCATTTGTCTGGTTCCTTTAATGTCCTTGTCCACTCATCCGGGATCGAGGCAAGAATGTCATTCAGGTTTTCAGTTAGTCTGTGACAGGCCTTTGTTTCCTCCCTCAGCTCCCTACCTGTTTTCCATCTCCCCCTGCTGCCTGACCAGAGTTGTTTTACCTGCCATACCCCATGCTCTAACCACTTCCCCCACTTGGCGTCCTTTGCTGTTAGTGTTCTAGGTCTTCCTTGAGAGTCTTTTAATCATGGATTACAAAATAACGGTTGTCTAAGCACTTCATCCTTCGTCTTGGGTTGTCTTACTGTTGTCGGGAAGACCTCCGCCCAGATTTTGAGCAATTGATCCCAATATGTACCTCTAGTTGCATCATCCTCTGCTAATTGTTCCCCCGTTCTATCCTTGTTAGTCCAACCCCTGCAGAATAGGCAGAATGTACCCTTCATATTGGAAGGTGTTTTGTATCTGGCCATCTGTCGTATGTGGTCAAGTTCCAATGGGACCCACCGTAAGTGAGGCTGTGTTAACAACTTAATGATCCACTTAGTTTGGAGTGACCTTATCTGCTGTCCCGGATACAAGACTCCCAGCGGTCCCTTGCCCTTTGGTTGAATAACTTGGTTTTATGATACCTTTGATATAAAGTTGGATCTTGTTGGATTTGCTGTCCACAAATATGCTGCCGCCACCTTCTTCAACTTTTGTAGTGTATATGCCAGGTGGTGACCATATTGTTCCAACATACCATAACATAGAGAAGATTGAAGCATTTATGACTAGTGCCCTCCCAAACAATGAGGTATGTATTTCCGACCACGCCGCCATCTTTAATAGCATTTTTGTCATCTGTTCAGGCGCTATGGAGTGGTGAGGACCCGTGTCCGCCATTCTGATCCCTAAGTATCTCATTGTCTGATCCGGCGGTAACCAAGTCATCCCCCCATAATTATGTGGCTGATACTGTGGCTGTTGGTCGTCATGTGATAGCCACCACCCCACTGGTTCTTTCTGTTTTGTTTGGGACCATTTCTCGATTTCTGGGTCATCCTTGCAGAGGGGCCACACTAATCTCCTCTGCACCATTAAACCACCAATACCTTTCTCAGCTATTTTATTCCAACGAAGCTATTTTATTCCACCAGTACCCACCACATCCTCCGGGCTTGACCAACCCGACCTAAATGGCTGGAGGAAGTTCGAGGAACCAGATTAAGGGGAAAAAAAAAAAAAAGGTATGACCGCGCTGGTTTGTTTTTCTATTGGCGCTCACCAGAAATCTGCAATGGGAAAAAGAGACTCGGAGGTACTGGTGGTCTAATGGATGTCCAGTAGAAGTGGTGCAACTTACTGATTATTTGGGGGAAATGGGGAGAACAAAGGTTGAGAAGTCTCAGCTACCATACCTGCACCAGCGATGTGGTACAGTGAGCCTTCACCGAACAGTCACATACAACAGACCACTCATATAGCCTCCCACCTTTTGCTCTCTCTGTGTACCTTGCTGGCTGACAGTAAGGTGAAATGTGTAGTACTGTGCAAATTGAGCCTCTGCCTTTGATTAGAGTTTCATGTACTGCTGCTCTAATGGCGCAAAACAAGCTCCCCCCGCCCCGGCTCCCCCTTTCATAACCCTAGCCAAATTCCTCCTTCCAGATAGAATTGAGCAAGGTCATTCACAACTCGATCACACATAATCAGGTTGATAAATCATTGATTCACCTTTCTGTGAGGTTTGGTGCCTTGAATATTTTGCAAGCATCGTTCTTGTTCATGTGGAAAAGCACACCCCTCTCGGGCAGCAAAAGGCATCCAGAATACCTGCGTACCGTCTTCACCCGAATAGAACGCCCAGTAATTATCGCCGTATGTGGGCTGAAAATTGTGCCAAATACAGCTATAATGACCTGGCGTTCTATTCGGGTGAAGACGGTAGTGGCTAACTGGTAGACGACAACACATACGGAACGCCGATGTGGACGCAACTCACAGGGTAACCTGCCTTCCAGCATGGCTGGCAAACAGGGTAACCTCACACAAGGTACAGCAAAGATTGAACATACCCATTTCAGTGGACCTGCAGAGTCTTCATCTGAGACATCATCCTCATGCATATCCAGGTCTGCAAAAACAGATGGATAAAAGATGGCTGAAAGGAATGCCGATGTGGACGCAACTCGCCGCTTCCCTCTGTCCACCATGGCTGCCCATCCGGAACGAACTAGCATCCTCATGACCTGGAAGGACGCAGGTTCATGCAACAGAAAGAACCCGCATGAGCAGCAAATCAGGTACCTGCCAGATCTTTTGGGAAGCTATGGTTCAGAGAGACTAAGTAATTACCTGGTTAGATTGATGATTGAGTGTCAAAATTTTCCTTAAACCACCACTACCTGCACGCCTCCGAACAATGTGGTTGAACGTCACCCTGAGATCTCCGCAGTGGTAGGCCCGCCATCGATAAATTCAATAAGGTGGTTCGCATCTCCGTAGTGGCCTCCCGACTTCGTGGAGCGTTTTTAGTGTCAGGAGTGCTGCAGGTAGCGGTGGTTCAAGTCTTCATTTGGAATTGTCCAATGTTCATTCTCAGCATGGATTTACTTCTGAAAGTCATTCTAGGAAAACCATAGTGCTGCCTCGAAAGCAACCAGGCAGGGCGATGGATGGATGGACAGACGAACGGGCAGGCAGGCAGGCTGGCGGGTGGGCCGACAGGCAGCTGGGTGGGTGGGGAGGCGGGTGGGTTGGCGGGGCAAGCGGGCAGACGAACAAATGGACAAACGGAAAGGACGGCGGAGTGATGAACGGACCAACTGACAGACAGACAGGAGGAAAGGGATCCAGAAAAGAGACCTGAAGAGGACTGAAAGATCAAGGCGGAAATCGTGAAAGATAATAAGCCTTTCTCAGGGATTTAACAGGTTCCAGAGCTTAATGGAAATTTGACAGTCTATGGTTCACATACACTGAGAGGAATGTAAGTGCAGAAAGGAGGAGGAGGACGAGGAGACTAACTTAATGTCTCTCTCTCTCTCTCTCTCTCTCTCTCTCTCTCTCTCTCTCTCTCTCTCTCTCTCTCTCTCTCTNCTCTCTCTCTCTCTCTCTCTCTCTCTCTCTCTCTCTCTCTCTCTCTCTCTCTCTCTCTCTCTCTCTCTCTCTCTCTCTCTCTCTCTCGACCAGATATGGACCAGTAAAAGATGGAGTGTTGAGCTGCTGTGTGCTGCAGGTAGAAGGCCGACTCCCAGATGGTACTGAAGACCCAAGCTATGGCTCTCAGCTGAGTGCTCCAATGCTGTGCTGCTGCTCAAGACCGCCTCCCTCTACTCCCGTACTCTCCTCCTACTCCACTAGTGCTGCTGCTCTAACAGCTGCTCACACAACATCATGCCGAAGTGCGCCCTGAACACTGTGCAACAGGAATAAGCGTTGGCCCAGCTATTTACTGTTGGGCCTAAGGAAATTCCGCTCAGCCTGCTGCTCGAGCCGTCCAATCAAGAAGCTGATTGATGGTCGCAGAGGCAGCCCCAAGTCCTGACTGACCAGACTGGCCTAGAAAACGGCCTGCCTGGGTCGCTACCAGAACCAGGCCTCCCTGCTGATGCAGCACGAATGTCCGCAAAAGTGAACAGCTGGATCATCACTAAAAGACAAACCTATGTCTACCCCAGTGCGGACAAAAGTGTACCTGTCCTGAAAAATGGCCGCTGTGCCTGGAAAACGGCCCACCAGTCCTACAACTGGTCTGGAACAGGAACCGGTGCCTGTTTGGACGACAAAAGAGTCCAAACAACACATCCCAAACCGGACAAAACCTGCAACTGACAAAAATACTCTGAAATATAATAAAAACCACAGAAAAAGAAATCAGCACGCAGAAAACAACACACACAAGCCACATCTACCTGGGACCCTCTGTGAGGTCCAATTGTGTCCATGGCCAGGACCGCGCAAAAACGAGGTTCGTGCGGTCTAGGGCCTGGTAGATCCAACATCGGGCCTCTAGGGGCCGTGTGGCTGTCCATGCACACCACAGACCATTCAGAATACAACAATAAAACAGCCATTCCATCAAAACATCACATTTACCAAAACATTACAAATAACCTTTTTTGAATCACATAAAAGATTTTAAGGCAAGGCTGTGTCGATTTTGGATGTATGACAACACACACGCACAGAATAAAATGTCTGTGTGCCGGACACTCCTGGTTCCCAGCATGTGCTACTCCCCACGAACAAGATCGGAGCCTTATTTTTGTTATTATAAGAGAGAGAGAGAGAGAGAGAGAGAGAGAGAGAGAGAGAGAGAGAGAGAG